AGTCGGCGGCCGCGAGCCCCTCGCGCGGCCCGTCCGCGGCACCGGTAGCTAGATACAGCCTTCAGAGACGGCTCCTCGGGAGCCGTGGGGCCTCAGTGTAGCATGTTTCCTCCTTGTCAGTGAATCGTTTCCTGGAGTACAGTGGTTGTGTAAAACCGAGTATGTGTGAGACTACCTGTAACTCCAGGAGCTCGGGCACGAGCCCCTCTCGGCCAAGACACGGGCGAGCAGCCGGCTGCCCGGCGTTCCTCCTGCCTCCGTTCCTCCGCCAGCAAGGAGCGTTTTGTAAGGTCTGAAATTAGAGATGCTGGGAAATATTTAATTTGTCTCCGGATACGCTAGGGGTTGCTGTTCCCCAGCACCACGAGCAAACGCAAGAGGGGAAAAGAGCGGCTCTGTTAGAATCAGTGAGAGTGAGTGTTGCTGGCTGCAGCAGGACGATGTACTCACCCGCGGAGCGGGTGGGTTTGAACGGAGACAAGCCATCGCGTTTTACTGGCGTCCTTTGCTTCTGGTATGTAGCATCTTCTGAATTTCTAGGAAGATTTTGTTTGTGGGAGCAGTCTTCTAAAACTGCACCAACCCAGCACACAGTTGAAATTTGCTTCAGTGGGACCGGCCGTCCAGGTAAGGGCTGCGGCACTGGGCTTATGGAGCCACTTCACAAGGTTTTTACCTCCACGTAGAGCTCTGGGCGCTCAGCGGCCAGCGCAGGATTAGGCCTGCCTTCTTAAAGTGTCGATTAACTAAGTTTAAAAGTCTATAGAAGTGGTTTTTTTTTTTAATAACCAAATACGATTGATGTGTGGCCCTGTTGAAGACTGTCTGTCTGACATCTTGCAGAGAAGATGCAACCCCAGGGCCCATGGGAAGATCTTGGGGAAAACCGGACATGAGGAGCCCGAGTGCCAAATGTCTGTCATGAGCCAGGGCGACACAAAACTGAAAATTTTTTTGCATACAACGTGATTAAAAAGATTGTTTGAGCCATGTTTTCTTTGTAAATAGAAACTTCTAAATCTTAGACATGAGAACATTCCTGTGCTTTTCAGGGGAACTCACCAAAAATGCAGCAGTGCTCCCTTTCTTTCGGTGGGGGCAGCCAAGTCTGCCCCCCGGGATACATGACCTATTGAGAGAGGAATAGAGATTTGTGTAGGATTAAGACTCTTAGCTGGAAAACAGGGGTTAATAATGACAAGCAAATATGTTTTGATGTTGTGGGCTTTATGAAGTTACTTGATGCTATCTTACATAAAGAAAATTGTCCTGACACTGTAAAGGAAGAGCAAGCGAAAGGGTTTGGGTCTTGGCGGGGGGTTGCTTGAGAGAAACAGTCTCTACGCTTACACGCGAGGGTAAATGTTTTCTCCCTGCACCGTAGTCTGTGTATTCCTGGGTCGTCAAAAGGCTTTTAGAAAAGTAAAAGCAAAGTAATTTATGGATGTGAATTTTCAGCAAGAGCTGAAACCTCTTTAGAAATATTTAAGCTATGTACATTGGAAAAGGTCTGAAAACTGTTAACCTGGAGGACTGTTACAGTTCCCCCTAGCCCCGCTTGAGGGCACAGCACGGTCCAGTTCTGTAGGTACAGACCGCTTTGAGGAAACGTGTGTAAAAGGAGAGTTGGCTAAAACTTCTTAAGGGTTACTATTGAGTATTATAAATGTATCTCAAGGCATAAAGGCATTATGTAACTGTAAACATAAATCATCTTGAAAGTCCGAGTTTCAGAATATATGGAAGTAATATGCACCTTCCCAAATTTTTAAATTTTATTGTTTGTTTATTGTACAGTAAAGCTATAAATATATATATAAAACCATTTTTATTGTATCAAATGGCTTTTTTAATGAGACAATGGAAATGAAAAGAGAAGTGGCATGGATTTTTTTTGTTTTTTGTTTTTTGTATTTTTTGCAATGGGTAAGACTATTTATGAGACAGGACTGCAGAAAATTAAATGGATGTGTTGCAAGACCAAGTTTACACACAGACACAGAAAACAGTAACTCTTACAGATTCTTCTAAGCGACGATACGTTCTTACCTACACACACCACTAGCACGTACGAGCCACCTCATAATCTTTTATAATAATATAGTAAAGCCATAGTCATAGCTGCTGAGGGCAGCACCTGGCATCGGGGCTCGGCCGCGGAGCATCGGGC